CCCCCCCCCCCCAACGAAAACCGCCCACGCAAACACGCGTAGCTGAGGCCGATGAATTTTCATCGGTCCGCAGGTCACGAGACGCCGTCGGATGCCGACAGAGAACACGCATATCGTTAGGTTGAGATCAAAAGCGGCGCGTTCGACACGAGCACAGAGGAGCCGGCAGCAAGGCTGCAACAGCTTGTCCAGCGAACGCGCCGGCAGCAAGCGGTTCTGCAAACACAACCCCAAAACATTCGACCGCAGCACTGCAACACCCTGCCCTCTCAAGCCACACCGAGCGTTTGACTCACTTCTTGGCCCTCTCTTCCGACGACGCCTTGTCCTTGTCGGCCTCGCCACCTCCTCCGTCGGCGTTCCCGTTAGCGTCGCCGCCCCCCTCGGCATCGCTCGACGACGGACCCCGCTTCCCCAGCCTTACCACTTCCTGCGCCACCGCGGCCTCACCAGCCTTTGCCGCTCCTCCCCCGCCCTTCCCGCCCGCGGCTTTGTCAACGCCTTCTGCCGGTGCGGCATCACTCGCCGCCGGCCTCACATCGGCATCCATCGCCGCCGCCGCTGCCAACTCCTGCACGGGGGTCGAAGCCTTCTCCGTGCTAGCGCTACCGCCGCCGCCGGAAGAGGAAGCGGTGGCAGATGCATCGCCGCTCGCCGCGCTGGCGCTTCCCTTGTCTCCGGTACCAGCACCGCTGCTGCTGCCGCCGGTCGATGCGCGCTCGGACTCCGCTGTTGTGCCTCCCACCGCCGCCGACGCATCAGCGTTTCCCTTGCCGGGCGCCTCTGCCGTCGGGCTTGCAGACCTCGACGTCTGCCAACAAAACGAACACAAGAGGGATCCGGAACCAAGTAAGGAGTGTTAGGGTTGTTCAAGGGAATGCATGACGACAGTGTTCGTGCAAGGTGTGTAAGGGAATCCATTTCGGGAGGGAGAGAGGGAGGGGTGGGAGGTAACCATTCGTGATCCGTCACATGCCATGGGTCCACATCCATGGTCCACATAATCTGGAACACCGGTGCTGCATTCCCCACGGCAAACAAGGGCATCAAGAGTGCGCGACTATTCTCGAAGAAAAAGCAAAAGTCCCTGGTTTGAGCAGTGTTTAGGTGATACTTCCAGTATACATGGCGCCGGTGTTCCACATTAGCCCAGACGCGTTTTGAGCGGCTGCGGTGGCTGCGGCGGCGGGGTATACAAAGGGGTTTTACCGGCGCACCTCTCCCGGGCCATACGGAACAAGGGCAGACACAGACCAGCCCAGGCGAAACACCGCAGTCTTCCCAGGGATTTTTCCATCAAGTTCAGATGTCGGACAAAGCGTGCAATCGGGAAAGCTGGGCATAGGGTTAGGGATGATAGGGTCTCCGTACCCCCCTCCCTATTCCATTTCCCCAGAAACCTTGATTTCTCGCGAACGCGGTCAAAGCGACAACACCAGCAGCAGCAGCAGCAGCGGCATCGAGCTCGTAACACCGTCCAAAACAACGGAAAATAACACACCTCCGGTACGGCCAGGGTGGCTCCAGTCCCGCTGCTGCTGCTGCCGCTGCAGGTCGAGTTGGGCACCACAAGCTCGATGAGGAGGGAGGCGCCCTCATCCTCCCCGGCTGTAGACGGTGATGATGATGATGAAGATGATGGTGCGGTCGACCACTGCAGCCTGTTTAACGGTTGAGAGGCAAAACACGTGGCAGAGACGTCCAGACAAAAACGAGAGGGAGAGAGTAACAGAGAGATGAGGACAAAGAACGTTCGGTAAAATAAGAGATGTCTTCTAGCTCTGCCTCTGCCTCAATTATGACTTTATATATCTCTCTCGGCCTGCTTCTGCCTCCATCATTATATCACTCCTCTATCTTACTCGCTCTACCTCCGTCACTGCCTCGGTCCACCCTTCCCCGCCCACCCATCAACCCAAACAAACCGAACCGGACCCTTAGATTCAAAGACAACAAACAGTCAATGCTGTTCCCAACGATACCGCTGAATCTGTATCAATCCAGGCAAGCGAACCCAAGGTAAATGTCACTCGAATCTCAGACCCGCGAGACCGCTGCAGAGTGCCCGCACCAACCGCCAAGAGAAAATAAGGTACCTTTTATTGTGGAAAGAGGAGGAAGCCGAGGAGAGGAATTTTCGTGCCCATTCTGCATCACGACAAAAAACACAACACACGCGCACGCCGGAGTGTGCCATGCTGGATGGCTTCTCTTACCTGAACAGGTTGTCGACCTTGCTCTTGAGCACCTTGCGGCACTCCGAAAGCAATCGCGCCGGCTGGAACGCACCCAGCGCGGCCTGCTCGCCAAAAAAGAAAAGGAGGAACACCCAACAATGTGCAGACAAATGCGGAGTGAACAAACTTGGCGGTTGCAAAATATCGGACCTTGATGGGCGCGGTTTCAGAAAAAAATATCTAGACAACTGTAGCAAACAAGCGTGTAACAGACCAGCAGAGAGCCTGGCACATCGCACGACGCCTACATGTATATCCAACCCAAGGGCATGCTATGACAGTACCCCCCCACGTATACGTGGATGACACGACTCTGAACCTGTGGCATTGGCGCGCGCCATTGTGAAGGTCAAGTACGACAATTCCTTGCAAAACGCGGGGTTTTATTGAGGGAACGAATGGTTCTCACAGCAAAGAGGGGCAAACAAGCTACCTGGACAAAATATAAGTAAATAAAAATGAAAATAATACGGCTGTGGGAATACAACACCCTGCAGAAAAAACGGTTCTGGAACGGTTATCCGAGATAAGCGCTGGTGAAACACAACAAAGCGGAGGTTTGAACAAGTGCGAAAACGCGGTGATTGTCCTGCAGCACGCACCTGGTGCTCGAAGAGCTGCAGCATCTTGAGGGAGGAGTCGTCGTCCACGACCAGCTTGAGTTGCCGCAAGAAAGCGTTGATAACCTGAAAGAAAAAAAAACCGAAAAAATAAAAAATAGCGATAGGCAAAAGCCAGGGAAGAGCAAAATGCGGACAATTCTCGATTAGCCGACAGACGGGGGTTTTCTCCACCGAAACGCGTTCTTTAGAACCATTACACCAAGGTCTGAAAGACTACAGCCCGATCGAGAAACAGAGATCAGAACCATGAGAAAACGAAAACAAAAGCGATCAGGATCAGCCAGAAGACAGCACAATGTGGACAATTTTTCGATAAGCCGACAGGCGTGTTTTTTCTGTTTTCTCCAACACAAAAAATGCCTTGTTTTTAGAAAATATACACTGTACAACCGCAGACAGACTAAATACCCGATCGAGATACGATCACTTTTTCGTTGTTCAATCCAGGGTTTCGATTCAAGAGGCCATTGTGTGGCTTACGAGATATACCCACTTTTTATTGTTCGGCGGGTTTCGCTTCAAGAGGCCTCACGCTGCAACAACAAAACCAACAACATTCCGCAGAGAAGCCGAGATAAAGATTGTTCGCGACGCACGAATACTGATTGCCGAGGGTCGATCAACAAACCAAAAAAGGTAGTTGGAGCATAAGAGGCCGCTGAATGGTTCCTACTCATGTGAAACGAACATCATCAACAACAAACTGTCTTGTAGAACAACAGCAGCAGCAGCAGCAGCAGCAACAACAACAACAATCCTTCACCTTGTCGTAGGAAAACAGCATGTAGGCCTCGTTGCCGACGGTGAGCTGCACGGCGTCTTCCAGCTTCAGCTGCGGCACACACGTACACGGAACGTTCACAGGATTGAAGAACACCGACACGAAGGGCCA